TATACCATAAGATTAAAAGACATTTAGGTATATTCTACATATATCATTAATTTCAGACCACAAAATTTTAAAATCTTTTTAATTTTCTAAAACTTCGTATCAAACTAAAAATCAGACAAATAAATTGAAATAGAGAGTGAGTGTCTTACTTGTATGGTGGTCAAAATCAAATATGAAAAGGCCATAAGTTCCATGTTTGGGAAAGGAATAATATTTGGAGATTAACATGTGCGAAACATTTTTTTTTTACGTATAGATTAACATGTGCATTTTTCATTCTGTTCTACTTGTGAATTTTCACAAATCTAATAAATTATTAACTGTAGAACCAATTATAGAATAATATTGTGTTAAGTAAAAATTATAATATTGCTTTATATTTGAGAATAATATAATACAACTTATTTGCCATGTAATTGTAAAAGAGACTAAATTACATGATATGCCAAATTACCAATATATATACATTCTCTTCGTTGTAATTTGTATGTTTTACTTTTTATTTTAAATTATTTAAAAAAAGAAATTAATATCTCTTTCTCTTTTTAATAATTTTTTAATTCTAACTTTCCACATGACATATTTAAGAGTCTAAGACCATAAGATTAAGAGACATTTAGGTATATTCTACATATATCATTAATTTCAGATCACAAAATTTTAAAAACTTCGTATTAAATTAAAAATCAGACAAATAAATTGAAATCGAGAGTGTCTGTCTTACTTGTATGGTGGCAAAAGCAAATATGAAAATGCCATAAGTTCCATGTTTGGGAAAGGAATAATATTTGGACGCTTTACCAAGCCATATTCCAACAGCCCATCCTGTTGTTCCCACAAGGTACCCAATTGTTTGGCATGAAATATGATATTTTCTCCAACCCAACCAAGGTAATGGAAACTCTCTAAAATTCCTTGCTATAATCACACCAATAGGAAGCACTGTACCCCACCCAATAATATTTAATATCCCATGAACCTGCACACACACACATATATATATATTCTTAATTCATCATTATGCAATAAAGAGAGTATCAAATCAGTAAAAAAAGAACTAAAATTTTGTGTCATAGAATAATTGATATTAGTCGTGTGAGGCTTCTTTTTTCCTCACAAAAAATAGACTTAAATTTTATATTTGTGGGTCCTACCAACATACCCTCAAGTGTAGTAAGAAAAACTTCATGAAAAGCATAAAATAGTAGGCATGAACATTCTATATATATATATATATATATATATATTGCTACAAGTATTACTTCTTTCCATTTATTTATTTTACTTTTCTTTTTATTCTGTTTATTTTTTTTTAGTTTGCCAACTTCTTATTATCAATGTTCCAAGTGACATGTTTAAGACCAGATGATTAAAAAGTATTTTGACACATCATACATAATTTTGTTAACAATAAAAAAATGTTTCAAGTGACATGTTTAAGACTAGATGATTAAATCATATTTTGACACATCATACATATTTTTGTTAACAATAAAAAAATTCAAAAAAATTATAGAAGCTTGACTTACTTGTCTTATTTTGCTAGATTCATGAACTCTATTGCCTCGACCTTTGCCTGTCCACAAGTTAATTGTTTCACTACTATCATAATTCATGAGGCCTTTTCCATGCATCTTTAGTTCTTTATTCCCTACTGCCCCAATATTAATTCCAACTTGCCACACTTGATTCAACCTTGACAAATCATATTTCATTGGAAGAATAATAGTTGCTAATATAACATGATATTTAAGTTTACTAATGTAAATAAAATTGAAATTACTTATGTTTAAGTCAATAGGAGAAGGCAATAGTTGACAACCTAACTTGGTATAACTAGTAATGTTGTATGTATCCTTAAGTAACTTTTCATCATTCTTAGTCTTTATACCTATAAGAGCTTGTGTTCCAACCATTCTATCTTCTGGACCAGGGTTCAAACCCCATGCTAGCCATCCTGTTTCTTCTTCTTCTTTTAACTTAGCTCCCACCATTATGTCAAGTTTTCGAGTGTTTTCGTGTAGATACATGGCTACTTCAACTCCATTGCTTTCCATATATCTCTTGGAAAATGTTAAGTTGATTAGATTTCTATTCTTCGCCTCGGACAAGAAATCATTACTACAATGATGAGCATGAGTATTTGTAAACGAAAATATCGATAAAAATGATAAAATGACTAATAACATCATAGAGAAAGATGGTGGTGGTGATGTTTCTATCATGTTGTTTATCTTTTGTGTGTATACTAATTTAATTACTTGTAAGTGTGTGTATATATATATATATATATATATATATATATATATATATATATATATAAATTATCAAGGAAACAAGTATGGATAATTTTCCATGGTGGAGTTGAAAGGAAGTAATGGATATATTCTTTTTTTCTTTTGTCATTTTTCATCTAAAGGATGAAAGGTTGTTTAACCATTACAATTCCATTTTTCACACTTTACTTTTTTTTTGTGGCCTTTCTTAGCTTGCTCACAAAGCTATTAACAAAGTGAGATGCCTCACTTCTAGTTATTTTGCATGTTGTACAAAGAAGATATTTAAGAAATAATGTGTTTCACGATGTAAGAGAAGGAGTACATCTCAAGGTACAAGCATTGAGTGTTCAAAATTTCTTTATCTTTGTGATTTATAATTTCTTATCTTGACTCATAATATGTTTTGCACAATAAGTTGTCACTCAAGCTAAATTTAAGAAAAGTAAGAGATACTCTACCCAAAAACACAATTGTACCTATTGAAAATATCAAGTCGATCACTATTTCAGGGTTATCTTTACTGAATGCTGACCGTGGTCAATTCAAAACTTTAGAAAACAAAAAATCTATAAAAGATCCAAAATATGACTGAAAGACTAGAGAATCATGTCGAACCTCCAATTAAGCCATAAATAACCCTCCAAATCTAGTGGAATCATTAAAATTTTGATTTAACCTTGCAATCTCAAATATTGACATTGGTCAAATTTTTCAAATTTTCAACTTTTAAAACTGAAATACATTCTCAAAATGTATCCGATCACTCGAGAATTGCGTCACCCATCCCCAATTCATAAACAGCTAAGATGGTTAAATAGGGGAATAGAAGCCAAAAAAAAAAAAAAAAACCTTGACCATCACGTATTGTTTCTCTTATATATGTTGTTTCACTTTTGTTTAAATACTAGAAAGGGGAAGCCCGTGCTCACAGGTCCAATCATTATTATTTGAAATTCGTAATGTTTATTTGTGGTATTTTTAATTTTTTAAATTCAATTATATTTGTTTTTTATAGATATAATATTAACAATCTAACATTAATATTCGAAATAAAAGGTAGTTTATAGATAAAAATGGGCAAATAAATAAAAAAATTAAATTTATAACATCGTAGATATTTGTTACACTTAATTAAGTAGTACTTATTTAATTTGTTTTTTATAGTAAAAATTCATTTATGTAGATAGGTTTTCTTATAATAATAAAATATTTTTATGTAAACTAAAAGATGAAATAAATAAAATATGAATATGAAATATATTTACGTAATACGAAATGTGAAAAGCTTCAAATGAATTGAAATAAAAAAAAAAAAAAAAAGATGTTGCCTAGGTTCAAACCCCAGACCTTGTACTTAAAAAGTCAAGCTTAAACCAATAAGTCAAGTAGTTCAATGTGAAGGTAAGCACACAACGAAAGCTGACATGTTAACTGCCAGTTGTGTGCTTATTCTCCTTTCTTGTATAGTATAATAGTAATAGTTTAGTAAATTTATATGTAGTTTTAATGATGTATTAATTAAATTGATGATAGATGAATTTGTGGATCCAGTATTACAAGAACTTGTTTATGCATGATTTGTTTTTTTCTATCCATTGATAACCATGGATGAAGATCCAAATAGTGACATAAATATTGATAATCAATGTCTTAGTTCTTGTATTATACCATAGGGCTTTGATTTTTGTAAAGGTAAACATTATTCCTAGCCCTTCAATAGAAAATACTTTTACAAATTATCATCAAAATTATGAGAATATTTCATAATTATCTAATGTTATTTTTAAAGAAGAGCAACCTATAACCATCACCAATATTCGTAGCAGTTCATGAATAGAACAAAATTCTTCAAAATAACTTATCTGTTGTAAATCATTTTGGTGGTTAAATGGATGACCATAACTCCTTGGTTAATTTCCCTCCTTTATGAGTAGTAATGTTGTTGATAATGTGGTCAAATGGATGACCATAACTCCTAGGTTAATTTCATCCTTTATTGGTAGTAATGTTGTTGATAATATAGTTAATTGGAGGACCATAACTCCTAGGTTTATTTCCTCCTTAATGGGTAGTAATTCTCAAGGTTTAATGTAATGTTTATGACACCCTTTGGTATTCCTCAATGTAATCCTATAAATAGTGGTGTTGAGAATAATGTTGATGATACTTGAAAGAAAGAAAGTTACCTTATATTGTTCCTCTTGTCTTATATTCTTCTTCTCTTCCTCTTTATATTGTTCTTTTGTTCTTAAGTTTTACAATACGTTATCAGCACAAAGTCTCAAGGTTGAACAACATTTCTTGTGAGGTATCCATTTATAATCTAATGTTAAAATTATTAAAATGTGGCTATACTTTTTCTGCTTTACATTTTGTTTATAATTCAATGAAAAAAGGCTAACTATTTATCGATTTTGCGAAGAGAAGATGAAGGTCACTGTTTAGTGAAAAAATAATAATAAAAAAAATGAATGGATTACAAATTCTAGTGTTTTCTATTCTCAATGGAAAAAGTGAATTATCTATACTATTGATTAATTTTTAATGAAAAGACTTTATCTAACAATTTTACTAAAAGTTATTTTTGTTATTTGTGAGGCATAATATTAATTTAGATTGTATGCTAATTTTACTTTGATGAAAAAAAAAAGTTTTGCTACTTAATTATTTACTCATTGTCTAGTTTACTCTAATTTAATTATTTTTTATGATAGTTTTATCATGTCGAATTTATCAAAGCTTGAGTTCGTGACACTTGACATTTCTGGATATAATTACTTGTCATGGGTACTCGATGCTGAAATTCACCTTGACGCTAAAGGTCTTGGTGCCACTATTACCAATGGTAATACAACGTCGAGTCAGGACAAAGCAAAGGTAATGATTTTCCTTCGTCATCATCTGGATGAAGGATTGAAGGTTGAATACCTTACAATAAAAGATCCACTTGAATTGTGGACTGGTTTGAAGGAAAGGTATGACCACCTTAAGGCAACGGTATTGCCAAGGGCTCGTTATGAATGGATTCACTTGCGGTTAGAAGATTTTAAAACTATATGTGAATATAATTCTGCTGTATACAAAATTACTTCCCAATTGAAATTATGTGGGGAAAATATAAAAGATGAGGACATGTTGGAAAAGACTCTCACAACTTTTCATGCCTCAAATTTGGTATTATAGCAGCAATATCGTGAAAGGGGATTCAAAAAGTATTCTGAGTTGATCTCATGCCTTCTTGTGGCTGAGCAACATAATACTCTTTTATTGAAAAACCATGAGGCCCGTCCCACGGGAACTACTCCGTTACCGGAAGCAAATGAGGTTGAAGCACATGGCCAGTCTGAAAGAAGAAAAAATAAAAATCAGGGCCAAAATAATGTGCGTGGACGTGGCAATGGCAGAGGACGATATAATAATCGTCGTGGTGGTGGTCGCCACAAAAGGGAGAACAATATGGGTTCTCAAAGCAATCCTTCAAGAGGCAATTGTCATCGTTGTGGCATGAAAGGGCATTGGAAGAATGAATGCCGAGCAGCTGAGCATTTTATTAGGCTTTATCAAGATTCCTTGAAAAGAAAAAGAAATAAAAATGGTGCATCTTCTTCTAATGCTCGGGTGGAGTCACACTTGACTTATAAAAATGATGCCGAGACAGGGCCTTCACGAAAATATGATGACAATATTGAAGTAAATTTGGCTTTAAAAGATGATGATTTTGATGACCTTGATGATATTACTCATTTGGAAGTTGAAGACTTCTTTGGAGATCAAAACTAATGTTTGATCATTTGATTGGGGAAAATAATTATGTTGTTTTATTTATGTGCTTTTAATTGTTAAGCTTTTCCTTATGTTGTTTTTATATTCAGAAAAAAAAGTAATTTTATTTTCTTGCATAGTTGTTGATTTTTCATATTTCTTATGATGTACTTTTATTTTATGAAGATAAATAAAATTCCTCAATCTTCAATTGGTTCAAAATGAGTAATGGAGATATGTGTCTTCTTGATAGTGCTACAACTCACACTATTTTAAGAGAAAGGAAATATTTCTCTAATTTGATTACGAAAAAGGCTTATGTTAATACAATATCTGGTAGTGCAAAATTAATTGAGGGCTCTGGAAGAGCGGCCTTACTACTACCTAGGGGAACGATATTAAATATTAAAAATGAGTTGTACTGTAGTAAGTCTCAAAGAAACTTATTAAGTTTCAAGGTTATTCGCCAAAATGGCTACCATGTTGAGACTGCCAATGAAGGAAAGGTTGAATACCTTTATATTACTACAGTAAAATTGGGGCAAAAATATGTGCATGAAAAATTACCCGCATTTTCTTCTGGATTGTACCATACAAGTATTAGTATGATTGAATCACATGCCATAGGTAACAAAGGGTTTACTAATCCTAATGATTTTATCATTTGTCATGACGGGTTGGGCCATCCCGATTATAATATGATGCGCAAAATTATTGGGAATTCACATGGGCATACTTTGAAGAATAAAATAATTCTTCAATCAAAGAAATTCTCTTGTGCTGCTTGCTCTCAAGGAAAGTTGGTTATTAAATCATCAACAACTAAGGTTAGGATTGAATCCTCTACATTTCTGGAACGTATAAAGGGTGATATATGTGGGCCAATTCACCCTTCATGTGGTCCATTTAAATATTAAATGGCTTGATAGATGCATCTACAAGATGGTCACATGTGTGCTTATTATCAACTCGCAATATGTCTTTTGCGAGGTTGTTGGCTCAAATAATAAGATTAAGAGCACAATTTCCAGATTATGCAATAAAGACAATTCGTCTTGATAATGCTGGTGAGTTTACATCGCAGGCCTTTAATGATTATTGTTTGTCCACTAGGATAACAATTGAACATCCAGCTGCTCATGTTCACACTCAAAATGGTCTAGCGGAATCTTTGATTAAGCGCCTCCAATTGATAGCTAGACCATTGTTAATGAGGACAAACTTACCTGTTTCAATATGAGGGCATGCTATTTTGCATGCATTAGCATTGGTGCGTATAAGGCCAACTAGTTATCATGAATTCTCTCCATTACAGTTGGTTTTTGGTCATGAGCCAAATATTTCCCATCTTAAAATTTTTGGGTGCGCGGTATACGTTCCAATTACCCCACCGCTACGCACAAAGATAGGTCCCCAAAGAAGGCTGGGAGTGTATGTTGGGTATGAATCTCCTTCTATCATCAAATATTTGGAACCTATAACAAGAGATATATTTACGACAAGGTTTGCTGATTGTCATTTTGATGAATCAGTATACCCAACATTATGGGGAGAACATAAGCAGTTGGAAAAAGAGATAGATTGGAATTCATTATCTCTATCTCAATTGGATCCTCGAACAAATCAATGTGAGCAAAAGGTTAAAAAGATAATTTATTTGCAAAATGTTGCAAATCAACTGCCAGATGCATTTACTAACCTTCCAAGGGTTACTAAATCTTATATTCCAGCAACAAATGCTCCAGTTCGAGTTGATGTCTCGGTAGGACAAATTGTTAAAGCAAATGAGTCAAAATCACGTTTAAAACGTGGCAGGCCAATTGGTTCAAAGGATAAAAATTCTCGAAAAAGAAAAGGAACAAATGATCATGAAGATCATACCATAGAGGAAATTGCTCAAGAAGAGCTCCTAGATATAACAAATGATAAGACCACAAAGAAGGTCCAAATAACTGAAAATAATGAGAATGAAGAAATCTCAATAATTTATGTCTCGACGAGAAAAATGTGGAATCGAAATAATATTGTGGTAGACAATATTTTTGCTTATAATGTTGCTGTTGAAATAATGCAACAAGGTGAGGATGTTGAACCAAAATCTATTAATGAATGCAGACAGAGAAATGATTGGCCTAAATGGAAAGACGCGATTCAAGCGGAATTGACTTCACTTGAAAAACGTGAAGTTTTTGGACCAATAGTCCGAACACCTGAAGGTGTCAAGCCAGTGGGGTACAAATGGGTTTTTGTGAGAAAACGAAATAAAAAAGGTGAAGTCGTAAGATATAAAACACGACTTATGGCACAAGATTTTTTCGCAAAGGCCTGTCATTAATTATGTGGAGACATATTCTTCTGTGGTAGATGCAATTACCTTCAGGTATCTAATAAATCTGACAATTCATGAAAAGCTTGAAATGCGTCTAATGGATGTTGTCACAGCTTATTTATATGGATCATTAGACCACGATATTTTCATGAAAGTTCCTGAAGCATACAATGTGCCTGAAGCATATAAAAATTTGCAAGAAAATTGTTCGATAAGGCTTCAGAAATCCTTATATGGATTGAAACAATCAAGGCGAATGTGGTACAATCGTCTTAGCCAATTTTTGCTAAATGAAGGGTACATAAATGACCTTATTTGTCCTTGTGTTTTTATAAAAAGGTCTGGATCTGATTTTGTTACAATAGCTGTGTATGTTGATGATTTAAATATCATTGGCACTCCTAAAGAGCTTTCAAAAGCTGTTGAGTGTTTAACGAAAGAATTTGAAATGAAAGATCTTGGTTAGACAAAATTTTGTCTTGGCCTACATATTGAGCATTTGAAAAATAAAATTTTTGTCCATCAATCAACATACACAGAAAAGGTTTTAAAGCGATTTTACATGGATAAATCACATCCATTGAGTACCCCGATGGTTGTGAGATCGCTTGACATACATAAAGATCCATTTCGACTGCAAGAAAATAATGAAGAGCTTCTTGGCAATGAAACTCCATATCTTAGTGCCATTGGGGCACTTATGTATCTTGCTAATAATACTCAACTAGATATCTGTTTTGCAGTAAGTTTATTGGCAAGATTTAGCTCATCCCCAACAAAGAGACATTGGAATGGAGTCAAACATATATTAAGATATCTTCAGGGAACCATTGATATGGGATTATTTTATTCTAATAAATCCAAGTCAGAAATGATTGGTTATGCAGATGCTGGATATTTGTCTGATCCACATAAAGCTCGATCTCAAACAGACTATTTATTTACATATGGAGGCACAACTATATCTTGGCGTTCAATGATGCAAACATTAGCTGCTACTTCTTCAAATCATGCATAAATAATAGCCATCCATGAAGCAAGTCGGGAATGTGTTTGGTTAAGATCAATGACTCAACATATTCAAGAAATGTGTGGTTTTTCTATGGAAAAAGATATTTCAACTACATTGTACGAAGACAATGCTGCATGTATAACTCAGCTGAAGGGAGGATATATTAAAGGAGATAGAACAAAACACATTTCACCAAAATTCTTTTTCACTCATGATCTTGAGAAGAAAGGTGAAATAGATGTTCAACAAATTCGCTCAGTTGATAATTTAGCGGATCTTTTCACTAAAGCATTACCAACCTCAACATTTGAAAAATTGGTATTCAAGATTGGAATGTGTCGTCTCCAAGAAATTAAATGATGTTCGCAACAGGGGGTGTAAACTACGCGCTACACTCTTTTTCCCTTGACCTAGGTTTTATCCCAATGGGTTTTCCTGGCAAGGTTTTTAACGAGGCAGCAAACAAAGCGTATTACAAGATATGTGTACTCTTTTGTCCTTCACTAAGATTTTTTTTTCCACAGGGTTTTTTCTTAGTAAGGTTTTAACGAGGTATATTATCTATCAATGGTCATCCAAGGGGGAGTGTTGTAAATCATTTTGGTGGTTAAATGGATGACCATAACTCCTTGGTTAATTTCCCTCCTTTATGAGTAGTAATGTTGTTGATAATGTGGTCAAATGGATGACCATAACTCCTAGGTTAATTTCATCCTTTATTGGTAGTAATGTTGTTGATAATATAGTTAATTGAATGACCATAACTCCTAGGTTTATTTCCTCCTTAATGGGTAGTATTTCTCAAGGTTTAATGTAATGTTTATGACACCCTTTGGTATTCCTCAATGTAATCCTATAAATAGTGGTGTTGAGAATAATGTTGATGATACTTGAAAGAAAGAAAGTTACCTTATATTGTTCCTCTTGTCTTATATTCTTCTTCTCTTCCTCTTTATATTGTTCTTTTGTTCTTAAGTTTTACAATATTATCAGATTACCCTTAATAAAGACGATAACTATTCATTATCTTATATTTTTTTTATGGGAGAAAAGACTCTTTTCATGCTACAAGAGGAAGGAGGAACAAGAAAAATTAGTATTAGTGAAGGGAGATATCAAGAAAATATTAAAGTCAATGGCTTGATCACATGCCTAGTTTTATGGAGAAACAAGATGCCATAATTAATATTTCAAGTAAGAGGGAGCAAGAGAACCATAAGACCAATGACATGATTCTGAATTCTCCAACAACCTATGCTAAAAATTCATGTTTTGGAGAAATTAGAAAGGGTGTTGTCCGTGAAATCAATGTTTACCATTGATTATCCTTTGAAAATTCAGAAAAGTACTTGGAAAGAGAAAGAAAACGTTGAATCCAATGACCCGCTTATGCCAAAAAATCCATGTTCAGAAAGAGATTCCATAAAGCCAATTGATCATCCTAGTTTTCGAATAAAAAAAAAATCCTAGAACCAATGTGTGATGATCCTCAATCAAAAAAGTGTCTTTTAAAGCAGTTTCTTGATTGAGGATATGGGCTTTGGTTCTTGAATTTTCTTGCTTTATAAAAAATCTAAGATGGTCAATTTGCTTTATGGAATATCTTTTCAAACATGAAAATTTTGGCATAGGTGGGTCATTGGATTTAGGGTTTTGTTGCTCATTCCAAGTACTTTT